AGAGGTGCACTTGACTCATCCAGTACAGTCTAACCGTTCTGTCTGTCAGACGTGTTAAGGGGACACACCACATCAGCAGGTCAGTAAAGTAATGTACAGCAAAGTATAGGGCAGGTAGACTTGAAAAATATTATAAATTCTCATTAAATGAAGACGTTATTCTCCAATCCGTCTGAATTGGAGAGAGGCCAGATGTATCTGCCAAAGCAAATACAACACGAGCTCGGAGATTCATCTGGTTCCCAGGCTAAAAGTATCAGTATAGTCTTTCAAAACTGTCCTACTTGTCAAACTAAGAACAGCAGTGATGGTGACTAGCTCAGGCTGTAGAGGCCTCCCACCTTAATAGAAGGCAGTGGACCTTCAGGATAAAAAAAATAAATAAATACATAGAATGATGTACCTGCAGTGCTTTGACGAGCGCTCCATTTCTGCCCGCTTCTCCCACCAGAACAACCCTCGTCTCCACTTTTGGCAGCACATCTGAGAGAGATGGAGATCAACAGACAGCATGAACAAGGAGGAAATGGAATGGGGAATGGAGACACACACAGACACCAAATGGACTGGGACAGAAACAGATCAAATAGTTGTCTCTATGGGAGGTAACAAGTTTTTCTTCATTGTGACTGACAGCCAGGGTTACAGCCAGGCAACATACCTATATCACTGACTGAGAGGTGAGAAAAAAAATAAAGATTGCATAGTTGGAAAGGAGAGGATCACGTGTGTTAAGTCAACAAATATCATTTTAGTGGAAAGCTCATTTCAATACCCACACAAAAAAAAAGAATATGGGTTCACACGTATTTAGAAACAGCATGTTAACAACTGCTACCAACATTAAAAAACATTTACAAATAATTCTCATTATTTCTGACAGAAACCATGTTAAACTCAATACAGTTAGCAAGTTTATCAGCAGGATTAAACTTTGGTGAACTTCGACTGGAAACCCCTCCTAATGCCCCAATGTAAACCAGCAGGTGGAAAGTGGGACAAAAATGACATCTTGTAAAAGCAGTGCAGTTTGGCAGTATTGGAAATTAAAATACCTGAAAGCTTTTATTTGCCAAATCACAGAATTAACCCTGCCTATATACGGACAGGCCTTTGATTCCTCTTGCACAAACTGAATAGGCTACTATGAAACAGTTTATTTATATCAAACACAATATTACTTTTATAAAAATTCTCCAATAATATCAAATACCGTCATTCATTTGATCTAGCTCCTAAAGACGCTTATGCGCTTTTATTTTGAAGGCACAACAAAACAAATACAGGTGCAGAATGAGAGAAGTGTGGTAGAGGTTAGCACAGAGAGCGATGGACTTCACATGACAGGATTCACAACTTTGATTCATTTTTATTAAAGCTGTTTTGATTCTTTGGATCGTGGACCCTTACAGACTAAAGGATATAAATCAAGGAACGGACACATTCAGACTTAATGAATGCTTCAGAAGGTAACGAGAGTCACCACTTTTCTTTTTCTTTTCATCTCTTGTACCATGCCGGTTACACTGGTAAATCTATAACATCAGACTTTGGGGCTTGATGTTTCCGTTAATGAACCTAACTGATCTAACGATGCGTAACTTGCTCATATTGACAGATTAATCATAAGTTTAAACATTATATTTGTATTAACAATCTAAGCAGCTAAAGTGGGTGACCACATGGGGTTTAAGAGGTTTTTTCCTTCCAGAGAACTTACATAAAAACCAGACCAGGTGTTTAATGGGGACCTGCGTTTTTTTGTCAAAATGTGTTCCCACCCAGGGTCTCATTTATAAAACTGTGCGTAGAATCCTCACTAAAAGTGTACGTACGCCCAAAACCAAAAATGGCGTACGTCAAAAAATATTATTCAGTATTCAATATTCAGACTTGTGCGTACGCACATCTGTAAGCAAATTCTCTTTATAAATCACATCAACTTGAAATGTGCGCAAGTGAGGGAGCGCCATGTCCGACTCTTCAAACGCCCATAAATGATGAGGGAAACGCCCCTCATTTATATTAACACGTACTGACTGCAGGAAGAAAAGGAGCAAATTCTCATAGAAAGCTACAAAATGAATTTACTCAGTGTGACACTGACGTTCTTTTTGGTCAAGCATGTTTTTGGTGGGAAAGGGGCACCGGAGCTCCACCCTTTATAACTGATCTGCAGAAGGGGATCCCTCCTGAGTAGTGACGTCGCTGGCTGGAGGGACACACACACACACACACACGCAAGACGGGATGACCCAGTTACTAATTTGGATTCCCCCGTTTGAAAAGAGAGTAAACCAAATGCATTCCACTTGTATTTAACATTTATTTAGGCTACACAAACAGTCCACTCACTTAGTGAAGCTGCCAATGAGTTAAAAGAAAACAACTTGCTTTATACATGACCACACTGAAGATTTCTTAATAAAATAGTGTTATATTTTAACAGTTTTCAAGTAGCGCATCACATCCACACGCTGGCGCACATAGTTTGGTTCAATAAGGCAACGAACATGTGACAAGAACATTACATAAAACTATCTTCTATTTGCTTGAATGACGCATTGAAAATGATATCAATTTAAATGTAATTTGTCGTCCTATTCACCTTATTTATGAGAATAAATTGCAATGCATGCAAGTATTAATTCCTGAAACTGTACAACACATATTTGAGGTTTCTTTTGCAGAAACATATCTCCGTTTGTGTTTATGATCCTGAATGTGGTTCTTTGTGTGCGCTCAAATGATCTTAAAGTATGTTTTTTTTTGCCCACTTCAAGGAAAAAAATCAAACGGGTGTTTTTTTATTCAGCCTATACTACTCAGAGGTAATATTTCAATTTATTTTACACAATAGTAGGCCTATTCATTTCAAACCGTTTCATCCCTCTGCCATGTGAGTCGCCATTTCTCATTTTTCCTCTTTATGTGTGTACGCATGTTTCAGAGTTCACATTCTCCTGTCAAGTGTTTTTTATAGACCACAACCTTTGCGTGGGAAGTGGCGTACGCACGTTTCCAGCTCTGTTTTGTACGTACGCACCGTTTATAAATGAGACCCCGGCCAGTAAAGGATGTAGGCGGCTATTTTGGACTCTGCTATTAATTGAAGTTTTACTGTAAGTTTGTTGACTGGTCTAAGGGTGCTTTCACACCTGCCTCATTTTGTTCGGCTGAATCGCACCAGAGTTTGAATGCAGCAATTGCACTCGGGTGCGCACCAAAACCGGACCAAACAAACGGACTCTGGTGTGGTTCGCTTGTGGTGTGAAAGCAAACTAACCAACCACAGGATTTAATGATAACAGAGATGTGCCCCCAGAGCCGAGGCCCACCACCACAGTCTCTTAAAATCCTGTGGGGAAACACTAAGTGTCTAACTGTCTTGCGTGTTAGCAGTTAGCTAGCCAGCTAGTTCTGCAAGTATTCGCTGTCACCAAGCTTGTAGAGCCAAAAACTGTTTACAAGCAGATTAATTTACCTGTCCAACCTTAATGCTGTTAGTAAACCAGACAGACTACACATTTAAACTGTTGGCTGTTGTGTGTGTATCACAAGGCACTGTCTCTACACTCTGTTAAAGATAGACTGTAACAGACAGAATGAGCACATTTTGACAACGCAGCGCATGCAATTCTGTCTGTGTGTGATCAACAACCTATCATTACTGAATATGAGAAAACTGCCTAACAAGCAATGTGATTAAAGCCCATACAGACTGATCACAAGAGATCCATCCTTGCAGGTGATATCAGAGAGTGTGACTCGTGTCAGTATGGACACATTAATTGTGGTAATCAGTGCGCAAACACTCTCAAAAGGAGACCACAACACAGACCATGCTGGAGCCATTCATTCAGGTTATGATGTTAAAATGCTGCTACAAACGGTTTTAGAAAGGTGGTGATTATACTTTATGATTATTTTGGAGGCTTGTGTTTAATTGTATCGCGTTATACTGAGAGGTGTTTCTAACATTATGTTCACATTATTAATATCAATGAGGGCAGAATAAATATTAGCATAACCACTCAGTAAAATGCAAACTTTACAAACTACAGCCCAAGGCTGTTATGCATTAGACCTGTACAGTAAAAGACAATGATTAGCTCACAGTGCCAATTACTTTCCCCCAGGTCAGGTGCTGTTTCTCCACAGCATTTTTGAATCTGTAACATTGCAGTCTGTTTTTCTTAAAGTATAGGCTTTGTGGTTTGCACACATAAGGGGGAATCCTGATGTTGTTTTTTGTTTTTTAAACACACTATTGGTGAAACTGAAGGTCACATATGGTGCTGCAGGTCACATCAGCAGCAGTTTGTTTTGGATATGTACAGATATTTAAAGAAAGCAGTAGGGAGAGAAAGAAAAAATGGTGACCCCTGCAGACTGACCTTCCCCATCTTCACATGCCATGCCCAGAAATACATGGTCCCTGGTGGTTTCGGCTATCCTCGAATCATAGACAGAAGAATCCACCAACAGACTCCGCGCTGTCCCTAACGTCACCATGCTACTGTCAGCCATGGCAGGAACTTGAGGGCACCAAACTGTCCAAACTATCAAAAGTTACAGGGAATGAACAGACAGAGACACAGAGGGAGAACACAGCAAGGCAGAGAGGAGAGAGAAGGAAGAAAAGGAGAAGGGTGACAACTGTCAGACTAAAAGGCAAGAGACACAACTTGGCATGACTTCAAACACAAATACTGCTGAAGTCTGACTATTCAACGGGAGAGAAAGCAACATATTTGTGATTTGTAATAACTTTGGTAAAGCGAGGCACAGTGGACATTAATGTCACATTTGTATGTTTTAAGACGACAGAAAATACCACGTTAACATAAATTTAAAATTGGGTGCCTCCACTTCAGTTTCTGAGGGATATCACTGTATAGAGAACACAAATCCCCACTCAACATCCCTTGTATGAAATGATGTTAAGAAATATATATAACATATATTTGACATCTTACTTTAATAAATCTCATCTAACTTTTGCCCATTCATGTTCTGACTGTTTAAAAGACCAAATGTGTTTAGAAAGACACTGATCCAAATGGACTGCCCAAACACTTAACGTTACATAACCGATGGGTAACGGTAAATTTTGCAGTCCAAACGTTAAACACTATTAAACATGAGCACAGAAGGCCTAAGTTAACGTTTCTACTGCCAAACGCAGCCAATAAGTCAAAAAGGACTGGGTGTGTTTACGCTAACCCATAGCATGGAAGGCTGAACTTGGTGGTTCAAAAAAAATCGACGTGCTAACGCTGTATTTCATGACACCAATGTGGAATTTTTATGCCTAATTTACGTCAAACTAGACGTAAGTTAACTGTTACAATCCGCGTTCCATAAAAACAGAGCACAAATTGTATCGTTGAAGTTATTGTGGTCCAAACGGCAAACAAGCAATAATAACACACTAACTTAATGAGTTTATGGAGATCAAAACATTACGTTAACGTTACGTTTCTTTCGTACAATATAGTTAATGGGCAAAACGATTAAATTATTAGGCCAACTGTCTAAACTTTCAGGATGAAACGTTAACGTATCCAACTTTATCCACTTTTTTTAACGCTAGTCCCGTTAACGCTGACTTCACTTAACGTTAGCTGCTTTCACCACGGCACCAAACTATCTTTGCTAAACGTCAACAGACGTTAGCGAGCGTTAACTGTTAACTTTAAGTGCTTAACTAGCTAGTACGGTGCGTTTTCAGCAGCACAATGAAAATAAGTTAAACCAAACTTACCAACTTTGTCGGTGGTAACGTTAGATGAAAGAACAACAGAAAGACAAGCTGGCGCAGCTAAACTCGTTGCTGAACCGGTTCAATTCAATCAGCTATCTAACTGTTAGCTAACTTGAGAAGAAGAATTCAACAAATCTGTAACATCTCTCGCTATATATCAAGACTGGTATCAATGCATGTTGCCCTTTAAGCGTGGAAATAGTCCTAATTGTCGAAATGTGTCTGCTTTCGTTTGTTGACGGCTAACTACTTCGTAGTAATCCAGAGAAGGCGTCAGCCTGTTGGAGCTCAATTCAAAAAGCAAGGCAAACAACGGTGCCGCGCGCTGATTGGGCAAGAGTGACGGCAAGCCAGCGGCTTCCGTCCGGCGCGGACACTGATTGGTCCGTTCATTCAAATCACGATGCGCACTGAGTGTTATGGCCAGACCTAGGTGGTGTCAGGTACGGTCGGAAGTATTTTATATAGACGAGAAAACAACGTGGATAATTGATAATATTATTGATACTTCATTTGACATAAACTTCGGGTGCTTTCACACCTGTAGTTCGGTTCATTTGGTCCGGACTGAAGGAGACAAACTATACATTAGTGCATTGCATTTCTAGTCCAGTTCGATGTTCACTGATCACATGTAAATGATCATAAGCATTACCAATGGCAAGCTGTTTTAAAATGTATTAGTTAGACCATAGGTGTCATTTACGCTGGGGACGCTGGAGACATGTTCCCACCACTTTTTGAAAGTATTTCCTAAAGGTTTTCTGATAATTAGCTTGTACCAAGAAATGATAAATAAAAAAAATAGAAAAACAGAGGTTTACTTGCACAATAGGAGAAGAAACAGATCTACCTTGTCCAAAAAAAAGTAACTTAGGTAAAAAAAAAAATGCTGATTACTGCATTAAAATCGATAATATCTTTATATTCTGAATTGTCACCGGCCACATGAATTTTGTTTCCCTTCATTTAAATAAAGACATTTGGGGCAGGGACCCCCTATCGAATAGCCTATTTCATCAATGAATATTTCATTGGAGCATCTTGTTGTCTTGTTCTCCTGACTCCAATATTGTGAATTATCACGTCTCGTGGACTAAGTGTTTCGTCCCCAACACAAAGTCACGCCCTTGAGTTAGACTGAATATTCTTTACTGATATCTGCAACATCACTAGTCAAAGTGTGAGAGGCAAACTGCTAGTCAGGAGATTGTCATGTTTCAGAATATTGCTCATGTTATTTTAGGCTATAAGGGACCCTACCACGTTTTTAAAATTCAAGTTGGAATCTTATATTTAATTTGGTATAGGTAGACAGAGGCTCTTTTCTTGAATATCTTGTTAACGTGTGCTGCGGTGTTAACTGAGTAGCAGTAGTAGTATGCATTGAAATGCGCTGTACACTTTTGGCCACCAGGTGGCGCCAGTGGGTGAGCAGCAAGTTGTAGAAGAAGAACTACTCTTCCTGGTTGTTTTCGGTTGTCACCTGGTTCTCACCAGTAGCTGTTGCAAGAAAATCTATTAGGTTGCAGAGAGACTTGCAGGTACAATAAGAGATGTTGTATGCTGCTTTGCTCTGTGAAGTACAGAAGTAAAAGCTGCTTTTCTCTCTCTCTGGCTGCAAGAAAAGCTCTTATTAAAGATATCTGTAAATTTGACTATTAAAATTCAAACTACTTTAACTATTCATGTGTTCCTCATAAATATCTACAGTTCTGTTGTAGACATCCGTGAATTGCAGATATCTGCAGCTGAATTATAACTAGTTGTAATTCCAGTTTCAGATATCTACAGTTTAATTCTTCATATTTCTAGTTCAGGATTTCTTTAATTCCCCACAATTCAAGATATCTACATTGTCCATTTGAGATAACTTAAGTTTTAACCGGTCTCAATGACATTATAGGTATCTTAGACTTGACTTATGACTTGTCAAAATAATTATATGAAAAACCTGGAATTATGTATAGGCCAGTCATTATTTAATTATGTAATATTTTGAAATTAATTTTGATTATTGATATCCCAAATAGGAGATATCTTTAAAGAGGTGGTATTCTGCTTTTTGGCTTTTTCCCTCTCCTTTATTGAGTTATATCTCTTTTTTATGCATGTAACAGGTTTGCAAAGTGAAAAAGCCCAAAGGGAGTCCCCATCTCTCACAGAAAGCTCTGCTCTGAACCGCTTGAAAACAGCTGGTTTGTAGTCCAGCCCTTCACTTCCTTTACTTGTGACGTCACAATGCAAACGCGTCATAAAGCTTGCCAAGCGGCTAGCGGGTCAGGCACGCCCTCAAACCAAGCTAGTCTGAGCGGAGGCCCTTTGGCTCGACTCGCCTTTGTTTGGTTTGTAGAAATGTTGGACCTGTACCTGCTTCCAGGTACTTTTTTTCGTATCACCTCACCTCCATCCAGGTTCCAAGCGAGCTGAGGGATACTAAAATGTAACGTGAAAACAGACAGACTGCTGATTGGTCTGAGAATAAACACAATTCACTGCATCATCATTGCTGCACCAGACAGAGGCCAGCAACAGGAAGTTTTATATTTTACAGTTTTCGTATGGAATTTCATCACTACAATCCACTTCTGAGAAGTTTTGAGGTGAGAAATCAGCTGTGTAGATTTCCAATATTGACAGTTTTACGAGAAGTGATGGCCGAACAAAAATATGCTTGAATATTTTGGAGTTGAGGAGCTCTGCAAGTGGCTGCGGGGAAGCCTGCTGTGACCCGCGGGAGGAGCGTGTGAGGTCGGCCAGCCGCCCGCTCACAGAGCCCTCTGCTCCCGCCGTCACACAGACCGCTGCAGCAACAACGGCAGAGGAAAACACAGCTGGAAGGTTTTCATACCGCTTATCTGTCTTTACATTCTGAGGAATGTTGAAACGTTTTAACTTAAAAAACAGAAAGCTGTGTGGATCGCTGGTGTGTGTGTCGCATTGAACATTACGTTGCTGCAATTGTGTGTGGCGTCACTATGACGACAAGCTACTTACTATCTCTGGGTACTATCTGCAATGGAAAACGGAGCAGGTCCGAGTAGAGTTGAATCTATTGATTTGCGCTATGGTAGCATTTTTCGGCAAGGCAGCATAGATCGTCAGAACACCAGCAACAGTTCAACGTTTAGTCCTAAAAGACGATGCGACTCTGACTCTGTTTGGGCCTGAAAATTCACAATCACAACCTGTAAGTATGCTTTATTGGTTGTGAATTATATTTAAAATAAACATGGCAATATACTTCTTGATTAGTGGATGGGATACAGGTAGGCAGGTCATTGCAGAAAGATGATGATGATTACTATGTTGTCATCTATTTGGAAGAAACACTCAGGAATGATCAGCTTCGTGACTGAATGAAAATGACATTAAATGATGTAAAAAGTGTTTCTTGCTGACAGACAAGACTTTAATTTTCTCAGTAAAAAGTTAATGAGAGAAATCACAGAGAAGGGAAATCTGTTTAATAAATGTAGAAAGTTGTGAGTGGTCCTTTTGTTTTTCCAGATAGTGAACACAGATTTTAACTAGACAGTGAATCATAAAACAAATCAATTATAAAACTAGCAGTGATACACTTGAGTTTAATCCATTATCTCTCTTCACTCCGGTATGAAACTTTGGTGATGTTATGATGTATCAAATCAGTCCGATCAGCTGCAGCGTCCAATCAATTAACAGATATCCAACAAGGGGGCATGTCGGTAAGTAAAAGACTTACGCAAAAGGAGGCACTGCTGTATCCTCGCTCATATTTCCTCAGAGTTCACTCCTCAATCCTTGGAGCACCTGAAATCCTGGTTGTAAAGTAGCCTCATAATGATGCAAAAACTTGCTGAAAAGACTTGAGTCTGGAGAATGTACTTCATCTTTCTGTCCTTGAGAAGGCAAGCATCGGCTTAAACGGTGGAAGTACAACAATCTGTAACATTACACACTCAAAAGCATGTACACACATACACGATGATGCAATCAGACAGACCAAAGTTAAAGAGACAAACAGACACACAGTGGCCCTTTGGGTAGCAGCATGCGGTCTCGAGGACAGTGAAGACATTCACTTCCAGAAATTCCTTTGTTTTTCTTCTTCTACTTTGACGTTTGTGAAAGCCTTAGTATGCTTGTCGCATTCCTGGGGCTGTCAGATCACTCCTCTAGTCATCTTACTGACACACACAGACACAATCTCTGCCTGTATTCCGCCCTCAGGAGGTTCACTGTGTGGAACAAAGCTTTATCAAGACCATATCTTCCTTCTACCCAGCTTTGTCCTCTCTGCACTTCAAACCTTTATATTTCTAGGGTTAGGGTTAGTCCTCTGCTCTTTGACGCCAAAAACACACAAATATCACGCTCATAAAGTCAGGGGGAGACTACCCATTCCTGAGATATAAGCAGGCCACCATACATATATATATATTAAAGCAGTAGTATCGGTAAAACCAGCCAAACTCTCTCAAACTGCTTTTTATTTGTTAGCAGTTATACACCATTTTTGAGGATGTCACAATGTCACTGAATAAAGAGTAAGAAACTAAGTAAGAATATTCAGGATAAATATGCTTATCTTATATCTGGCCTCATGTAATTGCTCTCGCTCGCTCGCTCGCGGTCGCTCGCTCTCTCTCTCTCTTCTCTCGCGGTCGCTCGCTCTCTCTCTCTCTTTCTCTCGCTCTCTCTCTTGCTCTCGCTCTCTCTCGCTCGCGGCTCGCTCGCTCACGCGCTCTCTCTCGCTCTCTCTCTCTCCTCACTCGCTCGCTCTTTCGCTCGCTCGCTCTCTCTCTCTCCCTCGCTCTCTCGCTCTCCCGCTCTCTCGCTCTCTCTCTCTCTCCCTCTCTCTCGCTCTCTCCCTCGCTGCTCTCTCTCGCTCTCTCGCTCCCTCGCTTGCTCTCTCTCGCTCTCTCTCCCCCTCGCTTGCTCTCTCTCTCTCCCCCTCGCTTGCTCTCTCTCTCTCCCCTCGCTTGCTCTCTCTCGCTCTCTCGCTGCTCTCTCTCTCTCTCTCTCGCTCTCTCTCTCCCCCTCGCTTGCTCTCTCTCGCTCTCTCTCTCCCCCTCGCTTGCTCTCTCTCTCTCCCCCTCGCTTGCTCTCTCTCGCTCTCTCTCGCTCTCCCCCTCGCTTGCTCTCTCTCGCTCTCTCTCTCCCTCCTCTCTTCCTCCAGACTCTGGGACCTTGATTTCCAAAGGAAATGCAAAATTTACTTTCATCAGAGAACATAACTTCGGACCACTCAGCAGCAGTCCAGTCCTTTTGTCTTTAGCCCAGGCGAGACGCTTCTGA